CCATAACTCTGAGTTAAAGTGTCTGACTGGAACAAGGCAACGATATGCCCATTTCCTCTTGGTATTGAAGGTTCCCATAAAGTTTCATTGAAATCCAGCCAGTAGTTGCAGAGAAGTAGCGCGGAAACGATTTTTGCTCTATATGCATACTGCATAACTAATCAAGGGCCATAACTCTTGAGTTAAAGTCTCTGACTGGAACAAGCCGATGATATGCACTTCCCATAAAGTTTCGTTGAATTCCAGCCAGTAGTTGCAGAGAAGTAGCGCGGAAACGAAATTCGGACAGATGGATGGACGGACATACGAAATGGTACTTAATGTGACTTTTCCTTTTATCTTTTTAAAAGAGACACACAAGTAAAAACGGAATGAATAGGACCAAAGAGAATTTACTGTTACCTATTGTTCTCCAAGTCACACAAGTACCTCTGGGTTGTACGGAAGGACAGATGAACAACGTAAAAGCAATAACAGTCCTTGCTAAATCTTTTTATAATATATTGTTATCCCCCGCCGATGGAATCAGGAGGGGGATAACAATATATTACAAAGTTGATAGTGTCGTATTATTACCATAAAAATGTACATTTTTCTCAATTATTGTACATATTTATTGTTTTTATCTCATATAGATAAAATGAAACATGCTATTGTTGTTGTTCTTGTTGTTTTTGTTTTTTTCGAATTGTATGTTTATGTATAATAAATATCAATAAATTTGAGAGTTGATCTGTGTTCATTAATTATTGTAACCAAATTAACTGACAAACATTCATTTTGGAAAAAAAGCTTATTTATCTGTAAAATATTTGTTTTGTTCGGTAACGATATCAAACATCTACTCCAAAACCAGGAGAGACCGGACAATAAACGTGTGGTACTATTCGCCGGTCACTAGTAAATCCCGGTCAAAATAGACCGGGAGCACATCCCTCTATAAATAGATTTTCGGAATATTTAGGTCATCAACTCATCATTCTATTTACAGCTTTCGGATAAATGTACAACAATAACATACCATAATAACCCACTGTGTAAATAAACAAGAGGGCCATGATGGCCCTGAGGTCGCTCACCTGTATATAGGCCCCCCCCACCCCCGGGCCAATTTTTACCCAAGGGCTTTTATTTGTTTATTTGAACAGACTTGGTAGACACCCATAAGAAGATGTTTCATGCTAAACATCTAATTTCTAGCTCATTGGGTTTTTTAAAAGAAGATTTTTAAAGTTTTTACTATACACATATAGTTAAAAACAATGACACCACTGGGGCAGGGCCAGTTTTGACCCCCGGGCTTTTATTTGAACAAACTTTGTAGATATTTACTTAAAGATGTTTCATGCTCAATATCTAAACTCTAGCTATTTGGGTTTTTTCAAAGAAGATTTTTTAAGTTTTTGCTATACACATATAAGGAAAATCAATGACCCCCCCCCCACCCGGGCGGGGCCAGTTTTGACCCCAGGGCTTTTATTTGAACATACTTGGCAGACACCCATTAGAACATGTTTCATGCTAAATATCTTAGCTCTAGCTCTTTGAGTTCTTTAAAAGAAGATTTTTTAAGTTTTTACTATATGCATATAGGGAAAATCAATGACCCCCTGGGGCGGGGCCAATTTTGACCCAAGGGCTTTTATTTGAACAAACTTGGTAGACACTTATTAGAAGATGTTTCATGCTAAATATCTTAGCTCTAGCTCTTTGGGTTCTTTAAAAGAAGATTTTTTAAGTTTTTACTATATGCATATAGGGAAAATCTATGACCCCCTGGGGCGGGGTCAATTTTGACCCCAGGGCTTTTATTTCAACAAACTTGGTAGGCATTCACTAGAAGATGTTTCATGCCAAATATCTAAGCTCTAGCTCTTATGGTTCTTTAAAAGAAGATTTTTTAAGTTTTTACTATATGCATATAGGGAAAATCAATGACCCCCCGGGGCGGGGCCAATTTTGACCCCAGGGCTTTTATTTGAACAAACTTGGTAGACACTCACTAGAAGATGTTTCATGCCAAATATCTTAGCTCTAGCTCTTTGGGTTCTTTAAAAGAAGATTTTTTAAGTTTTTACTATATGCATATAGGGAAAATCAATGACCCCCTGGGGCGGGGCCAATTTTGACCCCAGGGCTTTTATTTGAACAAACTGGCAGACACTCACTAGAAGATGTTTCATGCCAAATATCTAAGCTCTAGCTCTTGGGGTTGTTTAAAAGAAGATATTTAAAGATTTTTCTTTTGGTTGCCATGGCAACCAGAGTTCTGCATGGAATTAAATTCTTTGAACAATTTTTAAAGGTGACCACCAAAGGAACATTCCTGTGAAGTTTGGATGAAATTGGCTCAGTGGTTTATGAGGAGATGTCATTTAAAGCAAAAGTTTACGGACGGACGACGGACGGACGACGGACGGACGGACGCCGGACGAAAAGCGATCACAAAAGCTCACCCTGTCACTTTGTGACAGGTGAGCTAAAAAAACCGAAGAGCGCGATTTATTGACGGAAAAGGTTATTTCATTTGAAAATGTTTGCAAGTTCGCTATTCATTGTACCACGGATTAATAATTCTATTACGTCATACAACTTCCGTGCTCAAATGAGATGTGCATAGACCGTATCAATATTCCTCAGTGCGTTTTTGCTACTCGTAGGGTGCAGTTGTATTTCTACAGTAGCTGACCGTTTACCGTGACGGATTCGTTCGTTCACGTTTTAGACTATTCATTAGTATAATCAGTCTTATAAATTATTGCTATTCGTAGCAATATTCTATTATTTTATTGTTATTCGTAACAATTTGATACAATTTTATAATATTTGTTCGCAAATATTGATTATTTGCCATTGTTGTATTTTTTACGACAATATATATTTTACGACATAACCACGTGCGTTAATAGAGTTGCTTTACGACGTCGCGTGGTAAAATGGCAGATAAAGAAGTGCAGTTGAAAAACACGGGGAAAAAGACCACAAAAGTCTCCCAAAGTGAAATAACCCCAGTAACTACCACAACTAGCTCGTCTAGTATTTCATCTTTGTTAATTTCGAGTGATAAGGCTGCTACCAGCAGCAGTAGCGGTAAACAATCCACGAAACAGTTGCCAACAAAGGAGGGTGGTGTAACGAAAGAAGTGTTATTGATATTAAAGGAAACTAGAACTATCACTAAATGTGATTAATACCCCCACAAGACTGCTTCGGAAATGAGGATGTTACTAGTAACAGAATATCTTGTAAAAGAATTGAAATATAGAGTTATGGTTGTGGGCAATTAAAGATAGTTGTGGTTCTTGTATATTGCATTTCCTTTCAATGTAGTTGGCCATTGATGAAGTTTTATTGAATTACTCTGTCATAAGTCCAGAAAGACAAAGAAAAGGAACAAAGGGCAATAACTCTATAAATACTGAAGATGGAGTTATAGTTCTTGTGCACTGCACTTCCTCTTTTTGTGCTTGACCATTGTATGAAGTTGTTTTGAATTTCAACCAGTACGTTTTAAGTTATGCTCCAGACAAGGAAAAGTATCATAGGGCAGTTACTCTGTATTTTGTCAAAATGGAGTTATGGCTCATATGCACTGCACTTCCTTTTAATGTCCTTGACAACTGTATGAAGTTGTATTGAATTCCAAACAGAAGTTTTCAAGTTATGCTCTGGACAAGGAAAAGTAACAAAGGGCAATAACTCTGTAATTTGTCAAGATGGAGTTATGGTTCTTGTGCACTGCACTTCCTCTCAATGTGCTTGACCATTGTATGAAGTTATATTGAATTCCAACCATTAGTCTTCAAGTTATGCTCCGGACAAAAAAAAGCAATGGAAAAGTAACAAAGTGCAGTAACTCTGTAATGAGTCAAGATGGAGTTATGGTTCTTGTGCACTGCACTTCCTCTCAATGTGCTTGACCATTGTATGAAGTTATAATGAATTCCAACAATTAGTCTTCAAGTGATACTCCGGACAAAAGAAAGCAATGGAAAAGTAACAAAGGGCAATAACTCTGTAATTACTTTAGATAGAGTTATGGTTCTTATGCACTGCACTTCCCCTTACTGTGTTTGACAATTGTATGAAGTTGTTTTGAATTCCAACCAGCAATTTTCACTTATGCCCCGGACAAGGAAAAGTAACAAAGGGCAATAACTCTGTAATTAGTCAAGATAGAGTTATGGTTCTTGTGCACTGCACTTCCTCTCAATGTGCTTGACCATTGCATGTAGTTATATTGAATTCCAACCATTAGTCTTCAAGTTATGGTCCGGACAAAAGAAAGCAATGGAAAAGTAACAAAGGGCAATAACTCTGTAATTACTTTAGATAGAGTTATGGTTCTTGTGCACTGCACTTCCCCTTATTGTGTTTGACAATTGTATGAAGTTGTTTTGAATTCCAACCAGTAGTGTTCAAGTTATGCCCCGGACAAGGAAAAGTAACAAAGGGCAGTAACTCTGTAATTAGTCAAGATAGAGTTATGGTTCTTGTGCACTGCACTTCCTCTCAATGTGCTTGACAACTGTATGAAGTTATATTGAATTCCAACCATTAGTCTTCAAGTTATGGTCCGGACAAAAGAAAGCAATGGAAAAGTAACAAAGGGCAATAACTCTGTAATTACTTTAGATAGAGTTATGGTTCTTGTGCACTGCACTTCCCCTTATTGTGTTTGACAATTGTATGAAGTTGTTTTGAATTCCAACCAGTAGTTTTCAAGTTATGCCCCGGACAAGGAAAAGTAACAAAGGGCAATAACTCTGTAATTAGTCAAGATAGAGTTATGGTTCTTGTGCACTGCACTTCCTCTCAATGTGCTTGACCATTGTGTGTAGTTATATTGAATTCCAACCATTAGTCTTCAAGTTATGGTCCGGACAAGGAAAATGCAACGGACGTCTGGACCGACCGACCGACCGCCCGACCGCCCGACCGACCAACCGACCACCGGGTGACTCCTATATACCCCCCCAAACTTCGTTTTTGGGGGTATAATGAATGCAAATCTGAATGCACAAGCCACTCGCTTGGAAAAACAAGAACAAAAATTACAGTCCTTCACTGAACAGATTGCTGATCAAGAGTACGGTGACTTTGATGATTATAATGACTATGAGTGCCAAGACCAATATGATGATGATGCATGTATGTCTGAACAAGCATCCATTCTTTCAAGTGCTAAGAAAACTCCTGGGGGAGGCATATTTAGTTCATTAGTGAACAAATTCCAGCAGGAAGATGCCGTTGATAGTGAAGTCAATGATGACCTGGCACATTTTGTCAACATGTCTTTTAGAAGTGGTTTGACGGAAGATAAACTGTCAGATATAGTGAAGGACATACACAGGCCACAGAATTGTGAGGCGTTGGTTAAAACCAGAGTCAACCAGGGAATCTGGAGACTACTGAAAATGCATACACAGGCCGACGACAACCGAATGCAGGTAATCCAAGATTTGATCATCAAAGCCACATCCAACCTTGTCAAGCTTATTGACAAGAATGCTGACTCTTTAGACCCTTGTGATATGGACTGGAGTTCAAACTCTATTGCGTTGCTTGGACAGGCAAATAAGTTGATAAATATTCGCCGTCAAGAACTCCATAAGTCGGATCTAGATCCGAAGTACCATTATTTGGCTTCAGCATCTCTCCCATTCACTGATCACTTATATGGTGACGATACAGACGTCAACAAGAATGTGAAGGAGATCAATGACCTGAACAAGATTGGTCGTAATCTTGGTAGAGGATTCCCTCGGGGCAACTATCGTGGCTATGCTAGCAGACGCCCTCATCCTTATTACCGACGAGGGTTCCGTGGTAGAGGTCGTGGTCGGCCAGACATATCGGCAGCTTCAAAAAATGTCAGGATGGCGCCCAAGAAGTAGAGCAGGTTGGTATTTTTAAAGCTGGTAGATTGAAGGATTTTATTGAAAATTGGAGAAAAATAACCAGTGATGATTCAGTGTTGGACATTGTTCAACATTGTCACATTGAATTTAAAGAGGGTGTAAATCCCATTAAAACTTTTTCTTACATTAACCATTTCACACCTGAAGAAAATGACATTGTAGATAAAGAAATAGAAAAATTATTAAAAATGGGTGTTATAACAGAAGTTGAACATCATCCTGAGGAATATATTTCTCCAATTTTCATACGCCCTAAAAAGAATGGTGAATATAGAATGATTTTAAATTTGAAAGAATTAAATGAATTTATTGAATATCATCATTTTAAAATGGATACATTTGAATCTGTATTAAAATTAGTCAAACCTGGCTGTTATTTTGCATCAATTGATTTGCGTCATGCCTACTATTCTGTTCCAATTGCAACAGAACACAAAATTAAGCTAAGATTTCAGAAGTCAGGTAAAATCTACCAGTACGAAGCTCTTCCAAATGGTATTTCTTGTGCGCCAAAACAGTTTACTAGGCTCATGAAGCCAGTTTATGCATCTCTACGCATGCTTGGACATAAGAATTCAGGGTACATAGATGATTCATTGTTAATGGCAGACACAATCTCAGAATGTAGAGAAAATGTGTCTGACACCGTCAATTTAATGACTGATTTTGGCTTTATGATACATGATAAAAAATCAGTACTTGAACCCATTCAAAAAATTACCTTTCTCGGTAACAATATCGATTCTAAAGAAATGATTGTAACTTTGCCAGTAGAAAAAGTAAATGGAATTGTCCAAGCATGTGTAGATTTGAAAAACCGTAATCATGCAAAGATTAGGGCCATTGCTAGAGTTTTGGGTCTCTTGGTTTCCACTTTCTCTGCAGTTGAGTTTGCTCCTTTGTATTATCGTGATACAGAGAGGGAAAAAATTATTGCTTTAAAAGAAAATAGAGGAGATTATGAGTCCACCATGATGGTAACTCAATCAATTAAAGTTGAATTACAATGTTGGATTGATAATCTTTTTCAACAAAAGCGGAGAATTTCTCATGGAAACCCAAGTATTGTTATCACTTGCGATGCCTCGATCCAAGGCTGGGGATCAGTGTGTGAAAATTTAGAAACTGGTGGTCGATGGAATGACCAGGAGGCCCAAAACCATATAAATTTCCTGGAACTGCTTGCTGTAAGCTATGCATTAAAATCCTTTTGCAAAACCACAACTAATAGCCATGTTCAGATAAGATCAGACAATACATGTGCAATCTCCTATATTAAGAACATGGGAGGCAAAATACAGAATTTAAACAGTCTTGCAAGACAAATCTGGTTGTGGTGTTGTGAAAGAAATATATGGCTTTCAGCAACACACGTTCCTGGAATAGACAATGAGGCTGATGCTAGTTCGAGAAAATTCAATGACAATACTGAGTGGATGCTAAATGATGGGTTGTTTTCAGAATTGGCAGACATATTTGGGCAGCCCGAAGTAGATTTATTTGCTTCCAGGTTAAACAAACAGTTGCCAAGATATGTCTCTTGGAAACCAGACCCGGAAGCAGAAGCTGTAGATGCTTTTTCATTAAACTGGAAAGGAAAATTTATTTATGCTTTTCCTCCTTTCAGTCTGATTGGTCGTCTGGTGCAGAAGGTACTGCTAGACGAAGCAGAGATGGTCCTGGTGGCGCCTGTTTGGGTAACTCAGAACTGGTACACAGCAGTTTTAGAAATGTTAATAGACATCCCACTAATCATCAAAGTAAGTCGCAACACACTACGAATTCCGGGCTTGAACAAAATTCACCCTCTTGTAAACAAACTCCATTTGATGGCATGTCATATATCAGGAAATCATTCGAAAGCAGAGAACTTTCGGAAAAGTCTGTCGAAATCATCATGGCGTCATGGAGACGCTCCACTAAGAAGCAATATTCATGTTACATCAACAAATGGGTTCTTTTCTGTCGTGAAAGGCAAAGTAATATATTTCAAACCTCTATAGACTTTGTGATAGAATTTCTTACAGAACTTTTTAATAAGGGTTATAGTTATGAAACTTTGAATTCAGCACGGAGTGCATTGTCAATGCTTTGTGAACCACATGAAGGGTATAATGTCGGCTCACACCCGTTAGTTGTGAGATACATGACCGGTGTGTATAACTTAAGACCTACAAGATCAAAGTATTCAGAAACGTGGGATGTTTCAATACTTCTGAGTCACCTGAAGACGTTGCCACCAGTGAATAATTTGACATTGAAAATGTTGAGCTATAAGTTAGCAACACTTATTGTTTTGACTCAGGCAAGTCGTTCTCACTCTGTAAGTTTATTAACTTTAGAAGGTATGAAAAAGGATGAGAATTCCTTTATTTTGTATTATTGTGGGCTTTTGAAACAATGTCGTAAGGGTAAACGTAACCCTGTTGTAAATTGCAAGAAGTATACTCCAGATAGGAGGTTGTGTGTATATAGTACATTAGAAGAATACATATCGCGTACTAAACATTTGCGTGGAGAAGAAAAAAGGTTATTCATAAGTTACATTAAACCATACAAGTTTGTTGTCTCAACAACTATCAGTAGGTGGATAAAATGTGTAATGAGAGATGCAGGTATTGACGTTGATAAATATAAAACACATAGTGCTAGGGGAGCAGTAACTTCCAAGGCAAAGCAGAGTGGAGTTCCACTGAATGACATCATGAAAGTTGCTGGATGGGCAACAGAGAGGACATTTGCTCAGTTTTATGAGAAGCCACTGGAAACAGAGGTATCCTTCCAGTCCGCAGTATTACAGTAACATGTCAGATACAGGTAAAAAATATACATACGTTACTGTTGAAACATTTACATGTCTTATAGTAAGTGACTCGTAGCCCATAAAAGTTATGTCCTCTTGTGTCGAAGTCTCATTTGAGCACGGAAGTTGTATGACGTAATAGAATTCCCCCAAACAAACTAGACTTACCTGTAAGTTGACGTTGGGTTGGAATTCTATGTAGTCATATAACAACTGGAGGGATCAAATGCCCTCCCACTCCACCCAGAAAAACATTTAATGTTACAGTTACATATATTAATACCTAAGGAAAATGTTACTTTTTGATCCCGTTCTGGGACATAACTTTTCTGTTAACGTTTTGAAGACTGAGGAATATTGATACGGTCTATGCACATCTCATTTGATCCCTCCAGTTGTTATATGACTACATAGAATTCCAACCCAACGTCAACTTACAGGTAAGTCTAGTTTGTTTGGGGGAATTAATAATCAAGCACCTTCATACCGTTCGGAATGATCGGCTTTTATTATGACCGACTAAAAGGCTCGAGAAGTTGCTGTCGCCCTTTCACAAAATCTGATTTCATTCCATAAAGGGGCCAATAAAAAGATTTAGCAAGGACTGTATTGTGATTTTGAGCCAACACAGTTTAATTACTGCAACAGCTTACTTCTGTTAACATTCAGCACAAAAATACATTTTGAAACTATTAATTCAAAGCATGAAGCATCCACGTTTTCGTCCTTGCACAGCAGGGTGAAGTCATATACAGGATCAACAAGAATATGCAGACACCCTTCAATAAGAAAGTTAAAGTTTTTGTATGGGACCATTATGCAATGGCCTACAGGTCTTAAATTAAATCTGAACCACACGATCTTTGACAGTTGAAGTCTTAATTGGCATTTTTATATTTGATGTATATATGAATTTATTAATCTTAAGTTGTTATGGCCATTATACAATCAAGTGTGTATTGAATTAATTTTTGCAATAATTATCTATTTCTTGGGTCAAAAAGATGTAAACTGGGTACTTAATATTAAATTGGGACCTGGGTACCAACCAGAATGTTCCGTACCCTCAGATGCTCATCACAAGACAAGGTTGAAGTAAATATAAATATAAGTAACAGAGATCAAGATTTCATCATGGTATGACAAGTAATGTGCTGATGTGCCATTAAGTAAAAACAGAATGAATAGGATGAAAGAGAATTTACTGTTACCCATTGTTCTCCAAGTAACACAAGTACCTGGGTTTGTACAGACAGACGGACTGACTCCATGGGGTATAACATAAAATGCCTGAAATTCTTTCGGGGATATAAAAAAGGGAGGACATGATTGAAAGGCTCAGCTTAGTTTGTGTCCTTCCAAGGACACTGCTAATTACCTTGAACAGAAAATTTTCTCTGCTGTACTTAACCCAGGTGAAAATTGGTACTAATTAAGAGGGCAGTGCAGGCCTCAAGACTAACATTTTAAGCAGGTGGTAAGCCGGATCAATGGATCTGAAATTTAAGTGGTCCTTCTGGAAGTCAGGTGGTCCATCATTTATTTACACACAGTATAACTCAATGGTGCCATAAACGAACTGAAAGACTCCTGTGGGAAATCCACAGCAGGATTCTATTTTGACCATTGGTGACGTTGGTGAGTGTGCCATGTACAGTATGTGCTTGAAACTACTTAGATTATAAAATGTAATACTTTTTACTTATTTTTACCCTTAACCTGCAAACTTTCTTTCCTGAACTTGACCTGCGTCCATTTTTGGAACTGTCCATTATCAATTTTTGGGATATCAAGATGAAAATTTGAAGTTTGTCAGCCAACAGTATAGAACCTGGTCCGACTACACAGACATGCAAGCTAGCCTGTCAATATACTGGTAGCAAAGGCGCTGATTACTTTCAGTTTCAGTAGGTTAAGCATTAAGCTTTATCAAAACATGCTGTGGAAATGATCTATTCTGTAATAACAGATTTAACTCCTTCCCTGCTACCTTATTGAGTAAACAGACTTTGACGTCAGTACAAAGTCTGGGTGCAACCAGCACATCTTTGTAGTCTGACCAGGCTCTATACTGTTGGCTTATTATCTTTAAAGTCTTATCTTGATTATTCCCTGTAATTGATATTCCAAAATTTGAGATGGACAAGTTCATATAGTAAATTTAGCAAATTTTATACAGTGTTTATCCAGTTTATTTTGTCCAACAATGTATACTACTATACTACTATCATTAACATGACAAGTTAACAAAGACTTTATTTTCATTTAAAAATAACTAGACATATGTGCCCATAAGACACAAATCACCCCCACTCACTTTCCAAGATATACAGAGCAAAGGTCCTACTTCGCTAATTTTGCTAAATCAGTGGGCATAACTCTGCTTATTCCCTGCGGGCCGGAGCCCGCAGGGTATTGGTACGCGTTTAATTTTTGAGGCATGGAGGAGCACGTGACCTGTTTTCGGTACATGGAGGAGCATGTGATCTGTAAATCGTACATGATTGGTTAATTGACCTATTCTAAAACCTAGCTAAATACCGTTTCCCGGTACGTTAAGGGAATCATTGTATACACACCGGTCTCTCAAATGACCGGTGTACACAATGCTAGGGAATTCGTATTAAGAACATAACACTATTACGTGAAATTTCTAATTTTCTATTATTATTTTACCGTTTAAGGTGGAAAAACTTGCATGATATGTTTGAAAATTAACAATGTTTCTTTAATATCTATCTGAAATTTTACAAACAATAAATTGTTTATAGTAAAAATCCACAGAATTGAAACATTCGTTTGTGGCATTTGCCATAATAGATAGAGATATTTTCTGCGTAAACTTGTGTGTTTACTTTATTTTTATTTTTTTTTGCACGGAATTATTAATTGTTACAATGGTATTTAATCATTTTCTTAAACAGAAATATTGTTTTATTTTCGACCAGGACCAACGACCTTCTTCTATTCATCGATTATTGTCAACTATATTCCTGATACAAAAGTCATTTTTTTCTATTTTTTTCCCCAAACAATGTTGAAAATAGTTAAATGAAATATCTTTAAATCATTATAAATGTTCCCCGCAGGAAATCATTTTACTTGTCTTAATTTGCATCAAAATACTCAGGTGCAACAGTTCACAATGATGCTATCAAACATTTTTATAAATTAAAGTGCATGACTTTAAGCAATTATACTGTAATACATATGCAGTTACATGTGACACAAGTTTATAATTATTATTCCTTAGTTTAATCAAGGGGAATAACTCTGCTGATCTCCAATAAATATGCAAAAAGATACCAGTAGGTTAAAACTGTAGAATCTAAACTCCATACATTAATTTTTAATAACCTTTAATGTTAGAATTTTGTTTATATTTTATTTTTTTTAACTTTATCTTCTTTACCCTAATGGGAATTTTCTTGCAACATCATTCACACAACACTCATTTTATCACCATGAAAATTATATTTCAAGAGTTATCTTCTCTTAAAACTTTGAAAAATTGTTAATAAAATTTCTTATTCCATCTTATTATGGTCTAAGAGACTTTATTATAACATAATTATGACATACATTGTAATAAGCTTCAAAATTCAAACATTTGATTGAATTTATTTAAAGAATGTTAAGTACAAAAATATACATAATTACAAATGTATATAATTATATTTATATATCTGAAAGGGTGGATATATTTCTGAACTTTCCTGAGTTTCAGCCTTGTTAAAGCACTTACTAGTATATCTTTAGATGTCAAAAGAATAACACTGTAATATTTATAATTATATTATGCTTGGATGACTTACTAACACACAAAACATAACAAGATTCAAAGGATAGTTTATATGTTTAAATACATGTGTTGCATCTAAAGTATTAACTTGTAAATAGCAAAGATAATTTGCACAAAGTTAGTATAATAAACCTGGTGTTCTGCTAAGGCTGCCAATC